TTTTTTTTTTTTTTTTTTAAAGCAAGAGGTAAGGAAATAATGCACTTAAGAATGTATATACAAGAAAATAGTTTCTAAAATAAACTGAAATGTCTTCAGGTCGGTGGAAATTTTTGTTTCTTCTCGCAGTTTTGTTTTCTAACTTTTCACCTGTTCCCATCGCAAAACAAGAAACCATCACCTGTTTCCTTCTTTTACCTTAAGGAAAGGATGTTTTAGTGTTATTATTATTGTTGCTATTTATTGATTGGACACGCTTGTCAAGTTATAAATGCCTGAGAGGGCTACTAAATAGAGCTTAGATTCAAAAGTCTTGATGGAAATTAAGAGATTCAGAATACGGTTAATTACACAAAACAGGCAGAATTTTGTACAAGTACTATGTTCTTAATCAGATTTTAAAAAATTATCTGTTCTGTAAAATTAAGGTACAGCTGTCTGTTAAGCCACCACGCAAAGACATCAAAGCTTTAAGGAAGTTGTATTTTTTCCAATCTAACCTTTAAACTGCCTGGACCCTCATTGTGGATAGCTGCAAATACAGTGGTTTTTTTTTTTTTTTTTTCAATGTCTTCATTATAATTAAATGAGTTTTCAGTCCATCTGCAGCAATTTCTAAAGTGAAATAATAGTTGTAGTCAAATGTAACTTTGCATGACTGTGAAATAAAGCATACAACTTTTGTTGCAGAATCTGTGTTGGTACATTAAGGATTCCAGATTTTATACATAACTTTATACATTCATTTTCACAGAAATCATTCAGAAAGGGGAAAATGTACAAACACCACGTTTTTACAATACTTTCCTTTCGTGTGGTAGCCATATGTGTGCAGAATACTATGGTGCCAGGTATGTGTGGTCCCAAGTTATGTGTGATATTATCTAAAATATTGATAGCATCTAATCCTGGTCTTACTGGAATGTGAAAAATTGCTAACATAATACTAACGCGTACCCTAATTTGTTAAAGTTTTCTACATGGGTTGCTTTTTTGCTTCTTTCTCAAAATAGTCTACTTTGCTTTAGTCTAAAATTGTTCTTTAATTTCCCAATGTTAGTATTTCTGTTGCCTTCCTCTATTAAGAGATAAATAAAACCCTTAGCTCAGAGATTTAGATCTGGCTCAAGAGCCTGATATTTCAGTTTGGGATAGTACTGCATACCATGTTAAGGGAGAATTAAAGCACCAACCACCCAAAAGACAAAAATAAAAACTATTTTAACCTAAATCTGTCAAATATTGACCTATACAGATAGGTAAAATGCTTTTGAAATGTATCTTTAAATACTTTAATTCCGGCCCCCCCCCCACCCCCAGGTTACCAAGGAGGGAAAAATCGTTGATTATGTCTCTAAACGTAAACCCCAACATCTACCCATGAAGCCAAAGCCATCATCTCTGAGCAGAATGCAGCAACTGTGTGAATATTTGGATGCTGTTGTTGATGATGGGGTAATAATGCATAAAGAAACGTGCAAGGAATTTCACTAAAGACAGGACAAATATTTTCTTAGGTCTCATTAAGGGGTCTCGAAGTCCAAGACAAAACATCACCCACTCCACCTTTTGGAGGGACAGATCTGGTAGACAAAACTCGCACTGATTTCAGCATCCCTTACCACCATATCCCATGTGAATTAATCTATTATGTGGAATTGGTGAGCACTTGGCTTTCATTAAACACTGCTGAGTAGCCTCACAATTACTTTCCATGCTTCGTATATAAACAGACACCAAAAATGTAAACTGTCCAATTCACCTGATGGAGACTACGCAGATGCTAAAGAAGGAAAACCGAGATTTGTCTTTCTTTGGACGATGCGAAAAAGCATAATTAACTACTGCAAAAAGGTAAACATGCCTAACTGATAAACATTTTTTCATGCTTAACAAAATTCATTTTGGGAATAGCGAACTACTATATATTCAGTTATTTATCTCCCAACTTTTAAATATATTGTTCTCATTCTTAAAACTGGAAACCAGCTACAATCAGAACGTCATTCATTTTCATTCAACAGTTTATCGAACATCATCATCCAACAAATTGTGCTGTCTTCCAAATAACCTATTTAACGTCTCCTGAATAACCAGCAAAAACATACGAAGCTTATAAGTTTTAGGCATTATTTGCAAATAACCTGAATAGTAGTATAAAGTTTAAAATGAGACACACCCTCCATTACTGAGTTCTATTAAGAACTTAGTGTCTACATAATTAAACTTTCCATTTTGTATTAACATATGATTTATTTAACTTCTGGCTCTTTTCATGCATTGACTCCACAACACCTACTTTTAAGATATTTTGCACTTCTCAGAATATCTTGCATTGATGAAACAAACAATATCTGGAACTGAGAATCTTACTTGAAAAAAAGGCTAACTTTTTTTCAACTGTTAATTCCAACAATAAATATATTGCTAAAAGAGGGATTAATGTTAAAAGAATCCTGTGTCCGTGAAACTTGACCTCAAAGGAATTAATTACAGAAAACACATTAGGTACCAGTTCAAGTAAATCTCCAATTTAAAATGTCAGTTGCAAAGCATAAATTGTCTTTGATAAGTTATAAGTAACGGTGTCAAAGTTGCAATCTGGCATCTAAACCAATTACAAAGAGAATACTCTGCTCATAATTTTATATAAATATCCTTAGTACATGTCTACTTATCTGTACAACAATTTCATATAATATTTTAAGATTTTCAAGACTGATTTTGGATTTTTTAATATTGAAAGTTAGTTCAAATCTAGTGTAGTACCTGCCTGAGTAATATGACTGTATTACTTCACAGAAGCTTTCTTTTAAAGGAGGAACATTTTTAACAAGACTTTTTAAAGTCCTATGAAAGGGCAGTTTCATCAAAATCCATCTGAATCTAATCTGTGTGTCTGTGTCTGTGTGTTTAAAATAGAAAATATATGTGTTTGTTATATATGTATATACATCCACATATATACATATTAACACATTGTTAGAACAACATATAAGAGACTTTTAAATTAACATTTGTGCAGAGTGTTAGTGATGCATTTGGAAAGGCAATATTTTTAGTCCACAAAAACTATGCTCAGTTCCCAGTGCCTTTAATTGTCCACCATCTAATTCTCAGTAAGTTA